GATTTAAATTCAAATTCTCGCATTATTAACGATTGTCTGTCCGTTAACGGCTATAACGACTGATGGTGTGGGTGATGGTGTGGGTGGTGGTGTGGGTGATGGTGTAGGTGGTGTAAGTGGGCGAGAAAGTGGGCAGTCCAACTCTCTCCTCCCTAACAGGTAAAGGTCGCCATTATACTTGTCACTGATGACGTCACTCTTACGTCACCACCACACCTGTAACCTCACACATGTAATTGATGACGTCACTCCTACGTCACCACTATACCTTTGACATCACACCTGTTATTGATGGCGTCACACATACGTCACCATTACATCGGCCATCACGAAACATCCGTGTATGTGTGTGTGTGTGTGTGTGTGTGTGTGTGTGTGTCTACTCTCGTCTTGCACATAAATAGATAAATAGACAGACAGACAGACAGGCAGACAGACAGACAGACAGACATTTCGACCACTCAATACACTCTTGCTGTGTCAATCTTCCTTACCTCTTTCCTCCTCTCCCCTCTCCCACTCACCTCCCTCTCCCACTCCCTTCTCTTCCTCCTCTCCCCTCTCCCACTCACCTCCCTCTCCCACTCCCTTCTCTTCCTCCTCTCCCCCTCCCTTCTACCCCCCCCACCCCCCCTCAAAGATAACCAGGTGTCTGATTATAATTACCTGACAAGAATCATGGCTACTTGACGTTAGTGTTTACATTGGTGACGTCACATGTGGCTGCCAGTTAGGCTTTATGATAATTATTTTGGGTGAAATTAATAAATAAATAAACAGATAACATAAATGGGGTTAAGTTATCGTACTCAAGGGGTTAAGTTATCGTACTCAAGGGGTGAAGTTATCGTATTCAAGGGGTGAAGTTATCGTACTCAAGGGGTGAAGTTATCGTATTCAAGGGGTGAAGTTATCGTACTCAAGGAATTAAGTTATCGTACTCAAGGAATTAAGTTATCGTACTCAAGGGGTGAAGTTATCGTATTCAAGGGGTGAAGTTATCGTACTCAAGGGGTGAAGTTATCGTACTCAAGGGGTGAAGTTATCGTACTCAAGGGGTGAAGTTATCGTACTCAAGGGATTAAGTTATCGTACTCAAGGGATTAAGTTATCGTACTCAAGGGGTTAAGTTATCGTACTCAAGGGGTGAAGTTATCGTACTCAAGGAATTAAGTTATCGTACTCAAGGAATTAAGTTATCGTACTCAAGGGGTTAAGTTATCGTACTCAAGGGATTAAGTTATCGTACTCAGAGTAAACCGTCGTCCTCAAGGCAGCATAAATTAAACACAATCTCAGTATTTTAAATCTTTCTTAAAACACAAAGTTAAAACAGAACCTTAAACGCTGAGGTGTTTAATTCTCAGGTGATCCATTAATGACCATATATAAAACAGATTAATAACCTAAAGTTGTAATATGATCTCTGAGGTTAAGTTACGAGTGGTTAATGTTATGTTTTCAGGACACGGGGCCATTAACCAGGGCACACACACACACACACGCACACGCACACGCACACGCACACGCACACACTTAAAGAGCTTAGCAGTATGAAGAGGTGGACGTTTGCATCATCACTCGAGTATTGCAACATGCTTACGAGTACCAAGATCATGTGTGGGCAATGGTTGACTTGGAGGAGAGGAAGAGAGGGAGAGAGGGATAGAGAGGAGGAGGGAGTGGAGGAGAAGTGGTAGAGAAGAGGAGGTGGAGATGGGAAGAAGGACGAAAGGTAAGAAGAAGAAGATGAAGGAGAAGAAGAAGATGAAGAAGAAGAAGAAGAAGAAAGTAGCATAAGCAATAATGAGTCAGTACATTTTATAATCCCAGTATATACACCAAGATCACGTTCCCTAACTCGTCACCTCACACATACTTACATTTTACCCTTAAGTACATTCCTAAGACAACGTTCTACTTAAAACTCCATAAACTACTAAATTACTTAATAAATCGTAAAGTATATTATTACGTCAAAGACAAATTCTGTACTTAAAGCGACTTAGCCCTCAACACTTATATTTAAATTCTCGTAAGAAAGGAAATTGACTTATGCTAAAATTTTCAGGTGTTTTTTTTCGCCAGGTGAGCAAAGGTTTAATTAAGGTTATTAAAGGTGTGAGTTGTAGGTTATGATAGTGGTGATATGGTGTACAGGTGGTGGGTCACCTGTGTGTGTGTGTGTGGGTCACCTGTGTGTGTGTGTGTGTGTAAGCAGGATCATCTCTCTCAATTGACCTTTACGTGACCTCCCCCAAAACAACTATTGATCAGGTGACCTTTGACCCAGTGACCGAGTAATCAATTTTAGTTCCATTTTCGGTCATCAGGGTACACGACGGTATCTCGGGATCTGAAAATGGATGGTTGTGTTATCGACAGACAGACAGAGGGACGGGTAGACAGATATGGACAGGGGCGGGTAGACAGAGGGACAGACAGACAGGGACGCATATGCAGAGAGAGGAAAGGGTAGACAGACGTAGTAGTGGGGCGGGGGCGTGGGGCTGCTGGTTCCCTTCATCAGTAGTGTGGGTCTACTCAGGTGTCTGTGTTATAGTGTAAGGGTAAGATTTGAAGGGAGGGTGGCTGGGACAGTATCTCTCTCTCTCTCTTTTCTGATCTGCCCTCTCTGTGGGGAGGCAGCCTTCAGATAACTTATCATCTCGTATCATTGTCAACGTGTCTGTCATTCCTCCCTCACCTCTCACTCTCCTCACCTTCCTCATGACTACCACCTCCCTCACTCCCCATGACTCACTACTTCACCCCCATGACTCACTCCCTCACCTCTATGAGTCAAGGCGCGTCCTCAACCAAGGCTAATCCTCACAAGTCGATACATACATACATACATACATACATACATACATACATACATACATACATACATACATACATACATACATACATGCATGTACGTGTATAGATGAACTAGTAATGGTGTACACTGTCGATTCAACAGAACTTAACCTAGATACCTATGTTAATTTTCTTTTAGGTTAGGTTAAGTTTGGTTAGGTTGGGTTAGGCTCGTGAGGTTTGGTTAAGTTAGGTTGGGTTAGATTACATTAGGAGAGAGAGAGAGAGAGAGAGAGAGAGAGACAGACAGACAAACACAGACAGAGAGGCAGACAGCCTAATCGATGAGAATTCACCCATACGGTATTTATAAAACGTCAATATTTTTCAAACCTTTCAAAAAAAACTGTTCAATCTATTTCAATAACAAGAGGAAAAATATCAGATTCAGTGAACACGTATGAGAAAAACTAAAACAAAATACAAAAGATGATTTTTTTTCATTAATAGCCTCGTGTGTATTAAAATATAGTGTTCATATCAATAATAACTGTTATTAATTGTTTATCGGATATAACAATTTGAAATGAGTTTATCACTATACTATCCAGAGCCTGCATTAACATGTATACTCCCAAGGCCTTACTACACTGTATACTCCCAAGGCCTTCCTACACTGTATACTCCCAAGGCCTTACTACACTGTATACTCCCAAGGCCTTACTACACTGTATACTCCCAAGGCCTTCCTACACTGTATACTCCCAAGGCCTTACTACACTGCTCTCTTAGGGCCTTCCTGTGCTCTGGACATTACTACACTGTACTCCCAAGGCCTTACTATGTATACTCCCCAAGGCCTTACACTTTATGCTCCCAAGGCCTTGCACACTGTGTATACTCCCCAGGCCTTGCTACTGTCTCTCCCAGTTACTACTGTATGCTCCCCAGGGCCTCACTACACTGTGTCTCCCAGGCCTTACTACCTGTGCTCTCCCAGTGCTACACTGTATACTCCCCAGGGCCTCACTACTGTATGCTCCCAGAGCCTTACTACACTGTATACTCCCAAGGCCTTACTACCTGTGTATGCTCCCCAGGCCTTGCTACACTGTATGCTCCCAGGCCTCTCACTACACTGTATACATACACTGTTTGTATTCATATTATTACTGTATACATGCCTGGATTTATATTACATATTCAATTGTAAACCTGTATGGCAATTTTACTGTATAAATAATAATAATAATACTGCATTATTATTATTATTGATATTATTATTATTATTATTATTATTATTATTATTATTATTATTATTGATATTATTATTATTGATATTATTATTATTATTGTTATTATTATTATTATTATTATTATTGTTATTATTATTATTATTATAATTATTATTATTATTATTATTATTATTATTATTATTATTATTATTATTATTATTATTATTATTATTATTATTTTTATTATTATTATTATTATTATTATTATTATTATTATTATTATTATTATTATTATTATTATTACTATTATCATCATTATTATATAGGTTGTTACTGAATGTATTTGTAGTTAGTTAATAGATTTATTTTATTTTTATTTTAAGCCGTTTTCTATATAATGGGTGGCGGTGTTTGTGGGTTAGGGAGAATGTTTTGAGGGAGTTTTTGATATTTATTGATAATTAGTTTGGTGTTGAGGGAGATGAGACGGTATTGATGGATAACTTATTTGTTTTAAGGGGTAATTTAGGTCATTTTTGTCCTGGGTTTTGGTTAAGTTTTTCTGTGTTTATGGAGAATTAATTAAGTTTTGAAGGAGTTAAAACAATATGAGGGAAAATTCAGGGTGTTTTGAGGGAGTTAATGTGTTTATTTTCATTGTATGTGAGATTGTAATTTTTATGTTATATTTAAATGAGTATTGAGGAAGAATTATTTAGTTTGACAGATTTAAAAAGTGCATTTAAAAGTGTTCTTGAGGCTATTTTTCGTATTTATAAAGAATTAATAAGATTTGAAGGGAATTAAGGTGATATATGGGGAGATAAGACTGTAATATATAGATAATTAATTAGATTTAAATTAATATTAGATGGTTTTTTAATGTAAAATGTTTGGTTCAGTTTTCTGCGCGGTGGTTCAAAGGTGGCGGGTGTGGCGAGGCAGCAGGTGTAGACGCGGAGGAATACACGGCTGGGCGAGACAGCTGTCGGGTGCGGCCATATTGTGCGAAGGTTCTTGTGCTGTGCCAAAAACTTCCCTATATCCCCATTTATCGGCGTCATCAGCGCGTTTCCACCATGACGGAGAGAGAGGATAATGTGTACAGGGCCAAGCTCGCCGAACAAGCAGAGAGATATGACGGTAGGATGGTTATAATGTGGATAATTTGGTGTTAATATTACAGGGCGGGCGGACGAGGTACCTAGCCCGATGATGTTTCAAGTTGACAGTCGAGGCGCGGTGAGGTCCAGGCTTATGAGGTTTATACCAGCCCTAGGAGGTGATGGGGGCCTGTATTACTCTACCCTGTTGTCCTCCATGCCCGGGATATTAGATAATGGTTGTTATAATGATGGTGGGCGGCGCGGGGAGAGTGGGCGTGATCAGCCGCCTCTCTTAATTTTTTGACATTTGAAAAGGCGCAGTTATAGGACCGCGTGTTATCGATCATTGGTGGAGGTCGAGGGTGAGGTGATGGCCTCTCGCTCTCCACCCTCCAGGACACATTATCTAGGGATATAGGTTATGGGGGGGGACGGCGACCCCTCCCACCACCCCAGGACACCAAGAGGGGGGTTGGGGGGGGGGGTCAGGGTCAGGGCGTGGACGAGGGGGGGGGGAGGGCAGATGAGGGAGATAGTCAATAATATAATGAACCTCACTATAAATGGCTGCCATGCTCTCCCTTAAGTTACAAAGGAATGTTCCAATAATCAGGGTCTGGTTTCACCTCTTAATATACGTTTTAAAGTCTTATTACCTTTGAGGAAGTAATTAACAGGTGAAAGGAGAGACAGGTGTGTGAGGAAAGGTGAATTATGTCCAGGTAATGTGGTGTAAAGCCTCAAGGTGGACCTCAGAGCTCTGTGTAGTCCTCAGAGTCTCGAGTGTTTATTCCTGGAGTTGTTTCACCACGCGGGAGGTTGTGGGTGTGGTTAGGTTAGAGGCTGACCGAGCGACTCACGAACTAATGCCAAACTATCAGAGAGTTTTTATCGCCGCTTGATGATACTTTGGGACAATTCCTGACGAGCGTTGTAGCGTGATCTAGTTAAGTAAAGCGTCGCGGCAGACCAATACAGCGTTATGTACCTCCATGCGGCCACACCTTGTCCTGGTGGCGACGGAGCATTAATCTCCAATCGGGTTAAAGCCGGAAGTATAAAAGGTTAATACGAGTCTTACCCCACGTTGAGCTATTGATTCCCTCTCTTAGTACAGTACAGCGGCTGACCAAAAGGGTGAGAGAGAAATTTCAACAAAACTGCCATAACTGGAGGTGGTGTCGTTGGCCCTAACGCGTGAGAGGTGTGCGTGTGAAAATTGCCCATAGATGTTTTAAAAAAGTTATTGGTCACCTGAAGATTAGACACCCCAGTTTATCCCGTATGAATATTAATCGCGTGAAAGTTATCTACGAGGTGGTGAGGTTGGATTAGGTAGTTAGGGTAATTTATGCTTGGGTGGTTAACGATCAGGTGAAATAAGCTGAGGTGTGTAAGCTTAACCCCTTGTTTGCGGTTTCGCCTCCGAGCTAAATAAAATCGTTTGCCGTTGGCTAAATATAAAAAATGGCGTCCCCGTAGAGAAGGTGTTAAGGGTATATAAATTTTCTTTTATGTCATATATTGATTTTAATGCTTAGAATATTACTCGTGGGTTTTAAACGGGATAATTCGGCAGGCAGAAGGAAAATGGGCAATACTCGGTAGGTAGAAGGAAAATGGGTAATTGTTTGTTCCCGCGAAACACTGACCTAGACTCTTGTCACCTGCTCCGAGAAGGGTTAGGTATGGTCAAATGTCGACACATACTGTTACTCTTCCTGTGCATGATTCTTTGTCAGGTGAATTATGCTGTGTACATTTTGGGAATCATGACCATTTATCTCGCTTGTGACCTACATAATAATTTCTCGTAGTTTTTAATCAGACTCCTTCTTTTAACTAGAACAATAAGCTGTTACTAGTGTGTGACAACATAGGCTGTGGACAAAGTTCATTAATAGTCTTTGCTACGGTTTATGTAATCTTGCCCTTCTTTGGTGTTCCTGAGCCGAGGGTTGGCACGCGAGCTGGTGATGGACAATAGCACTGACACGCCTCCCCCAGCCTCTACCTGACCTGAGGTTGTGGTATAAGTTAAGAACTTTATTATTTATTTGCCAGAACACAAATATCTATGAGGTTCAGTTCAGGAGAATTACCGGGTTCAGTAATTGGGATTTATTTTCCTTGATCCAGCGACAAAACTCGGTCACTTGTTTAGCTTTGATGCCCACGGCTCCTGGATCAACTGGGATCCTTCAGGAGACTGATTATCTCCTTGTGCTTTGTTTCAGAAAGAACTTTTGAGTTTTGTAAAATATTTCCCCTATGTACTGTATGTTTTGTGGTAGTCAAAGACGTCTTCCCCATGACTGCAAGGTGTCCGTTGACCACTTGACTGACTAGATCCCTGAGTGGCAGGTAAGGGGTGGCGACGAAAAAAACCTACCAGACAATTCCAGAATGAGGCGAGGCAGTTCCAAAAATGGAATTAGTTATGAAAATTCCGTAATGCTTGGGGAGATTTTGCATGGGATATAATGTATAGCACGGTATATGGTAAGTGTAGCAGTGCCCCTCTTCTACACCTTAACGAGAGTGTTTAGAGAATCTGGACTATTCTTGGTAAGATCTTGGACATGTGCTTTATTATATCAGGACCTTGACATTGATTTTTAGGGGAGGTAAGGTAAGGTGGATGTATTCAGAACTCACTAAACTTAAGGTCTTCATACAGTTTGATTTTGCTCTGTTTCATCTACTTCCTTGGATGCTGTGCTGGTGGTTAATCAATAATTCACAGCTTTATTTTATGCTGTTACATCTATGGTATAGCCTTGGATGCTGTGCTGGTGGTTAATCAATAATTCACAGCTTTATTTTATGCTGTTACATCTATAGTACAGCCTTGGATGCTGTGCTGGTGATTAATCAATAATTCACAGCTTTATTTTATGCTGTTACATCTATGGTACAGCCTTGGATGCTGTGCTGGTGATTAATCAATAATTGCAGCTTTATTTTATGCTGTTACATCTATGGTACAGCCTTGGATGCTGTGCTGGTGATTAATCAATAATTCACAGCTTTATTTTATGCTGTTACATCTATAGTACAGCCTTGGATGCTGTGCTGGTGATTAATCAATAATTGCAGCTTTATTTTATGCTGTTACATCTATGGTACAGCCTTGGATGCTGTGCTGGTGATTAATCAATAATTGCAGCTTTATTTTATGCTGTTACATCTATGGTACAGCCTTGGATGCTGTGCTGGTGATTAATCAATAATTCACAGCTTTATTTTATGCTGTTACATCTACACCCGGGGATGCTGTTCATGATTGATCAATACACCAGTAACTGCAGAGGTTTAGAAAATGGGCCTCACATTTATTTTTTCAAATTTTCCTTTTAAATTTATTTCTTTTATACTGAATGCATGTTTGATAATGAACAACAACAACTTTAATTTTTGATAATCATGTTTTGAATCTTGATAGGAAAGGCAGCTCCTATGATGCTCCCAGAGATTTAACATTACTGAACATTCTGATCACTGACACATGACCCCACCCAAACCCCACCCCACCCAGTGATCCTAGGGTGGGTCGGGTTCATGCATGGCCCACCCCACCCCACCCTCAGGAATACTACAGTGTCATGGTGAGCAACATTCTTTATTTCCTTGCTCAATACCAGATTTTTTATCGTCTTAGATCCTGCAAAAGGTAAAGTGATCTCCCTTGATGGTGTTGTCTGGTGGTAACTGCTGTGTGTTGGAGATGAGGCAGTTGATCCTATAAGCTTGCTGGAATTTTATTATTTTATTTTAATTTTTCCCAATAAACTGTTGTCTTCTAATCCACTTATACAAAGGATAATTAAGAGCACCAATGAATGGATAAACAACATGTTTATTTGGTAGTGTTTCCCTTCATGGGACCTAACATGTCCGGCATAGAATACAACAACGGACATTGATAACTCTTGACAGATAAAATCAATAACAAGTTCATTACTATAAGAGCCTTAACTTACCTAAATCTTTTATCTTATAACAGAAATATACAGTCCATAGCAGCTCAAGGTGGTGATTTATTTAGCTGCATTTTGTTTCACCATTCGACCAAGTCATTACTGTACTAGTGAAAAGTTGTTACACACAGTACCTTTATAGTACAGTATATCGATAGTTTCAGCAAGAGGCATAATCATCAACAATGGTTTAATGTTAGATGAGGTCATAACATAGTTGGTTAAATCCTGACAGTTGTCTTTCTTTAGTGGAAGTGAATGAATCTTAGCCTATGAAAAGTAGAGGTGTTTGTGATGATGGACACTGAGAGGGGACATACAGTACTTATTACAGAGAGAATTGGGTAAATAGGGCAGCTTTCTTTGTGTATCTTTGACAGTCTGTACATTAAAGACCTGACCCAGCCCCAGATGTGTACAGGTAATTTTGAATATACTGTACATGTCCTCATAAATGGCTTCATTGACTTTATCTGTGTGTTGGTGCTGTTAATCTCACTTCCCCCGAGGAGAGCCACTTGCATCACAGTCAGCTTAGCTTTAATATTTTACAAGTTTAAGTAACTACCACATGCATTTTACTGGCAGCTGGTAGTTCCCTGAGTTATAATATGTATGCAGCTTTAATGTGTGTGTGTGTGTGTGTGTGTGTGTGTGTTTTTCCCCAGACTGTGCAGGCCATTGTGGTGGTCACAGTTTACATGCTTCCCTGTGCTGTAAGGATAATTAGTGAAGTGTTATAGTGCATGATAACTATGGCTGTAATAAGGAGTACTGTTTGATGAGTGCGTGTGTTGGGTAGGCTGGGCTGGCAGTGCAGAGGAGTCATACAAGGACTTGCATTTCTGAGCAAGGTGTTTCTGTCTCTGAATTAAATGTCACACAGGTACAGTAGGTTTGGGATGGGTGGATGTGTTGAATCAAGGATGGGGCTTAACTGGACAAGAGGGTTTAGTGTCAGCCGTGGAGACAACTACAGTACAGTATACATAAACCTAAGGGAGCTTTAGTTGTTTTATAAGAGGATTATGGGAAACAAACATGAAGGGACTGACCACTGGGGTGTTTCATTTTAGGGTTTATCTACATCTCTTCCTGTGGGAGACAACTAAGCAGATTTTTCTGTTGGCCTTGGAACTTTCCTCTTCCATTGCGGCCACACATTATATTGCTGGAATATTGAATGTGAAGAAAACACTGTTGAGGAAGAAGACAGTGTGGTATGAAAGATGAGTTCTTGTGGAGCATACCTTGGTAGAGGAGATGATAGATGTGGTTGGGATGGGGTACAGGGACACACTTCTGGTCATCACATTACACTGACAGTTTCTCGGGAGGAATGTGTTGCCGTTGACACAGCTTCCGTGAATTGGGACGACGGAAACTTGTACAGTGATATCACTCTTTATTTAATGAATGTTTTCTATGATCTCACTTGTCTGAAATTTGGATATCAGAGACAGACACAGGAGGTGGGGGGGAGGTGTTCCGGGACGGAGGAGCAGGGAGGTGCAATAAGATTATCATAGAAAAAAAAATTTAAATTGCTTAATGACATTGTGTCAAAATAATTTATGACAAATTGAAACAGTAGGATGTGGTTCCCTCTGGATTTGAGTGTGGGGGGAAGTCAAAGTAATTTTGAGAATGTTAAGAGGGTGTAGATCTACATGGAAGCAATCCCAAGCTTGTACAGTACACTACCCTATTGCTTTAGGTTAGTTAAGCTGAATTCAGTGATGGCTTCTAATGTGATGATGGATCTTTTGGTTGGGGTTTTAGCATTATTTGTTTGCTATTGCTTGAGCAGCTGAAATATCTGCTCCTGCTTGGTACAATATGACAGTTTTGGGGCGATGAGTGGTCAAAAAAATGTTCAAAGTGGATATAAGAAACATTGTGTGGCGCTGTTGTGAGTCGAGGGTTTGAAACGGTAACACCACGCTGAATCTGTCCCAGTTTGAGAGCATCTTGAGGTGTTGATGGGAACCGGTGACTGTTGCATGTAGTTGTAAGTTATGTAGAGGCAGAACAAGTGTGTACACGGCACAGCGGTCGAGAGTAGAACTGCATAGCATAGTAAACCTGGCTTGCTGTGTGTGTTGCTATCTAGTGAGACGTGGGGTTAACTTCTGCTTTTATGAGAGTGAACACTGTGATCCATTTATAATGTCTGGGTTTCCCCCAACAAAGGGCGAGAGGTGAGGCGGCGGATACAGTGATAAGGACAATGATGCAAGAGGGACCAGTGTACTGTGCTGTATGTGTGGAATGGTAAATAGATTACACACACTGATAAAGAGATACTGGGAACTAAAGAAACTCTCTTAAGACAAAATATTAACCTATAAACTACAATTGCTGTTAATTTGGTCAGGTAAGGCAAGTCCATGAGGAGAGAGTAAGAAGGTAGACTGTCCTTCGGGTAGTACTGTAACATCTGTCCCGGTGTTCCATTAGCCACTAGTAGTTCAGATATTTCCAGCTTGAATACTTTACAGGAATTTTGTTGTTTTATAGATGCTGCCATGTAGAGATGAGACCCATTAGGTGTGATTCAATTATTACCATATCTCTTAAGAAATAACTTAACATTAATTACTATGGTCCAAACATGCCCCTGTGAGGAGTGACATTAACCCTTAAAGTCTAACAATTATTCCCCGACTCCCCTCCAGGTGTACAACAGTGGAACACAAATGAACATGAAATTTCCACCGATGATGACCGCTGTTTTAGGGGTTAAATATAGGTTAATGTGTAGGAGTTACAGTCTGATTCACAGTAGGTTTAGAGATAATTTATTGGCTTGAAATAGACATAACCTCATTGTGTGTGAGGCAGTAACTTGTCCTGAACCTATAGAAGTTAGTCTCTGGCGCTACAGGTTGGGTCACAAAATGCCAACAGCTCGCTCCCCGTGGTGAAACTGAGTCACAGGAATGAATCTCTGAAATTACAGTACAGTACTTAGCCTGTTTTATCTCGTTTAGGGGTCAATGCTTCATTTTGGGAGGGAGTGAGCTTTTGACTCGGACTGTACCGTTACTACCCGGTACTTTACTTGGGTAAAATCTTTTCTTGTCATTGAGTCTCGTTTATGCTGTTCTTTATGACTTGACAAATTTGGTCATGGTTATATTAAATAGGGAATATTGTCTTTTACAGAAATGGTGGAAGCCATGAAGATGGTGGCGTCAATGGACGTGGAGCTAACAGTAGAGGAGCGAAACCTCTTATCTGTCGCATACAAGAACGTCATCGGCGCACGACGAGCCTCATGGCGGATCATCTCGTCTATTGAGCAGAAAGAAGAGAACAAGGGCGGTGAGGAGAAGTTGGAGATGATCAGGAATTACAGGACACAGGTTTGTATCGTAGCTAAATGGTTCCTCTGTCTCGTGTTACTGCAGGTAGGTCACTGTGGCTGACATTAAGTCTAGTTGTTGAGCACGACTTTTGTTCTTTGTTTATGAATACTCAAGTTTCCTCATTGATTAAACATAAAACTGTTCACCTGTGGATGTGTTGACTTCGACCACAAATACCTGTTCAATGTCGAGATAAATAAGTGACAGTACCGAGTCTGTAAAGGGGTTAGTGGACAACACATTCCAAGTTCTCCTTAAGGATTGGATTTTGTAATTATTGGAAATGTGTGCATAGAATTTTATAAGACTAATTGTAGCAGACAGGATGGGTGGGAATATGTACAGTACTTGTGAAAACTGCCGAGCTGGTCATCAACGCAGATGTAAACGTTGAGCCTAACTGGTGATGAATTCAGAGAAAATGTTGTTTTAGATGACATGTAAACAATAGATGTGAATTTTAAAGGTAATTACAGTATGTACAGTACAGTGTTTGCAGGTGTAATGTGGTTTTTCCTTTACTCATTCACAACAAAATATTATGAGTTGATTCTTCAAGTTTTCTGTAATTTTGTTTGATAATTGGTTAACATTTTATAATTTACTGTAATCAGTACTTGAAATACAAATCATGGTACTGTAGGTGACTATTTGTAGAGTGAGACACACCTTTCTTAACCAACACTACTGTGCATCAAAGAAATGTGACTTGGCATTTTTGGAATTTGCTACTATTTAAAATTAGAATTTTTAAAATTTTGGAAAAATTTAACACACACACACACACAACACACACACAACACACACACAACACACACACAACACACACACACACACACACAACACACACACACCCACCCACCCCACTTGAACCCTTCCAATGCCACCCATCATTTTGTTGTGTACAGTAAACTCTTTCAGACTTGACCTTGGAACTGACCTTGTACGGCATTCCATCATTCACCAGTGTTGCCACCACAACTTTTGCTCACATAATTTCAAATACTCTTGACTTATTCCTTTAGTCCAGCAGGTTCTTCCTTCGACCCTTTGTATTCATGCACTGAGGACATCCTGGTCCTTTTAAGTATTGTGTATGATGATGAAAACTTAAAATGTATGCTTTATTTATTTATTTTATTTTATTTTTTAACTTTCTTCAGGTGGAAAAAGAGTTAAAGGATATTTGCTCCGACATCTTGGGTCTCTTGGACAAACACCTCATCCCCACCGCTTCTGCTGGAGAGAGCCGTGTGTTCTTCTACAAGATGAAGGGTGACTACCACAGGTGAGGTCATGGATATAGTTGTGTAGGTCATCTTGGTCATTCCTGTTCCTCTGGTGAAACATACTTGGCTGCTCAACTCTCTGGTGAAACCTCCATATAGCAGAAGTTTCTATCCACAATTCGTTAGATGAGTGAAATATCCATATGGCGGACTTCTCTATCCACGTAATCCGTTAGATGGGGGGTTTCACATCTAATGGAGCCTTGATATAATGGATTTCCCTCTCCACATAGTCCATTAAATAGAGGTTTCACTGTACAGTATATCTTGACAAATATTAACCACAGTTACTCATTTATATATTAAAGCATTTCATTATTTTGGAACGTGACAATTATGAGTATCACGTATGGTATCAACGTAATGTTCTCGTGTGGAAGAGCTATTACCATTGTACAGGTGTAACACATCTCGACCTCCTTCAGCCTCTCCACCCATCAGTCTCTTATTTTTTTTAGCAACTTGTAATCATTACTAACACACACACACACACACACACACACACACACACACACACACATACATTCCTCATCACTGATATTATGAATTGGTTCCACCATTGTACTGTAGGAGTTCATGACAAGTGAAGGAAAAAAGAGCATCCATTATGCATAGATTGATAAACTGGACAGCAAATTCAAATATAGGTTGAAAATGTAGTAAGTATCAGTACAGTAGTGGGATAACATAGTGGAGATAGCAGGGAAATAATGTTAGGCAAGGTATAATATCCTCAGTGTAGCTTGAGTAAGAAAATGCTTGTCTGCTTCAACAACATTTATGGGTGAAGTTTTGATCTGGGGAAGATGGTGGGCAAGTTGGACATTCCTCACACAGTACAGTACACACTTGATAAGGGGAGAGTTGTGGTAGTGTTGGGTATGTCAGAGTACTGTAGTGATGTGTATGGTTGAGGTGTGAAAATTTCCATTATATATGTTGGGAAATTGCTTTAATTTGGTAGTTTGTGTCATCTTAGGTGTCTCAGGTTAATATATATTTAGTTATTAAATTTTACAAGAAAGAGTTTAGTTTTGCAGTTAAGTTGGTTCATTCTTCAGTTTTAACAGGCATCTTAGCCTTTGTTTTTGTCCTAAATTTAGTATTGGCAGGAGGCAGTGGAAAGACAAGACATGCTCATGTGAAGCCTTGTGTGCGACTCGTCCAGGAACCCCTGTTGGCAGTATTTTACGAGCTCTGACATCTCTGCCAACAGGTATCTTGCCGAGTGTGCCACTGGCAACGGAAGAACTAGAAGCAGGGGTAAATATAGTTCCGTGGAAGTCGTTTCCCCTAACCGCTCGTTTAGATTGTCCTCCTCAGATGTTTTAGAATCTGTTTTATGACAAATGCTATTTTGTTCAAGGCCACCGTCACCACCACCCACATTACCCTACTCAAAACAATTCTTTGTTCTGCTTAGGCTAAATTGAACCCTTGTGTAGTGTGGTTCATTGCTTTGTATCCTTAGCTATGATGTGCTGACATAATTCTGTCTTCACAATTGCTGTACGAAGAGGTGAGACACAAGTTTGAGCGTGAATTGTTCCAGGGATCCCCTAGACCGGTGCTGTTCTGGAACTACAGGTGTTGTTGTCCAGCATACCTACACTTAGAAGCCTTTTATCCTCATTAAAACCTTGATGTTCTGGAACAATATTTACCCCTGAGGACATGGTTAAAGGATTGAGTTGTTAGTCATTGTCACTGGGATGAAGAGTGAACAGTAAAAGTAATGTGGCCTCCTGTCGCATACACTAACCCTAAACATGGGGATACAGTACTGTATTGTACCTCACTCTTGTTGACATTATTCAAACTTTAAAATTGTTCTCTAACAAAATTCAGAATCTCCCTTTTTTTTATTTATTTATTTTTTACTGTGAAAGCTCTCGAACCCTTGCCAATGTTTCTGCAACTCCCGCACTGAATGACCCCAGTGAAGTGTACCTTAACAGTTGTTGGTCATCCAGAAATATATATTTATATATATATCCCAGTGGCTTTAAACGGCATGTTACTGCTCTTTAAAAAAAAATACTCTGCCGACCAACAATAAAATTTTTGGTGCAGAGGCTCAAATAAATTAACCACTTTGCCCCGACCAACATAAAAAAAAAATATATATTCTTGGTGCAGTACCTAGAGACACACACGTACGTCTGCCCTCCTCCACAGGTATCTGGCCGAGTTTGCCACGAGTAACGACAGGAAGGCAGCCGCTGAGAACTCCCTCGTGGCGTACAAGGCTGCCAGCGATATTGCCATGACAGAGCTGCCCCCCACACATCCCATCAGGTGAGTTCCTTCTGTCCTCCCTCCCTCCCTCCCTCCCTCATTCCTCCTTACCTCACCTCCCCTCCTCCCTCCCTCCTCCCTCCCTCCCTCCCTCCCTTTCCTCTCTTCCTCCCCCTCCTTGGTCACAACTGATGTTTACTGTATTGGTTGTGTTGTTAATCTTGCCGAGAGGAATTAATTCTTTCTTAGAGTGAAATTTATTTTTTTTTAACTTGACTGTGATTGTTGCATTTTCTTGTGGTGTGATTGATGGTAAGGTTAGGAATGTGATTGATTGACATTAATATAAGGAATGTGATTGATGGCCATTGTGTACTATTTGGTGGTCATTGGTATTGGCTGTGTTATATTACTCTCGTGTTTAATTTTAGGTACGGGTGACTTTCATTAATGAGCTGGTTCATGTGTATATGTTTAGTGTTTTCTTAAGGTTTCATAGATGGTTTAGAAGTATTTTTTTGGCATTTCAGAACTCTATATTGCCTCTGTCTCTTCCTATTCTGTGTTTGTGCGCGTCTTTTCAAGTGACTGTTTTATCTTACAGGTTGGGTCTGGCCCTCAACTTCTCCGTTTTCTACTACGAGATTTTGAACAGTCCGGAACGAGCATGCCGTCTGGCGAAGGCTGCGTTTGATGATGCAATTGCAGAGTTGGACACATTATCAGAGGAAAGCTACAAGGACTCTACTCTTATTATGCAGCTGTTACGAGACAACCTCACGTTATGGACCTCAGATATGCAGGGAGAAAGTGAGTTCCTGGGTAACGTCATCTATGTAAACCCCTACGACAGAGCTCATAAGGGCAACTAATAGTGGTCTGTGATGGTGACTTGACCCCTACGAACACCAGTAAAGAAATGTCTAGGTGGTTATGTAAGGAAATGTTTAGGTGGTGATGTAAGGAAATGTCTAGGTGGTAATGTAAGGAAATCTTTATGGAAACAAGATCATTTATCACCCTTCTCCCTACTCTCTTCCCTGGTTTTAAAGGGGAGCATATAATGTTTACCTTGCTTGTCTTGTTTACAAATATATTACTTTTTTTTTCTCAAGCATTTTTACACACACACACACACACACATAGGGGGAACTTGACACTTAATTGCTTTCTGACTATTATAGTTTTACATTTTTTATATGGCTATAGAGTTAAGTTCATCTGAGGTCTGCAGATGTTGCTGGAATTAGTTAGGCAGCTCCAGGCTTCTTCCTGATAGCAGCATCACCACACAAGAAGTAGGTAACCTTATTTAGATGTTGATAGCATTTTTGTAGTTATTGGGTTAGGTTAATTTTTCTTAATTTAAGTCTCTGATTGTTTAGGTCATATTATTATTTAGCTGTTTTAGGTCGTATTATTATTTAGCTGTTTGTTTAGGTCGTATTATTATTTAGCTGTTTTAGGTTATTATTATTTAGCTGTTTAGGTCGTATTATTATTTAGCTGTTTGTTTAGGTCGTATTATTATTTAGCTGTTTGTTTAGGTCGTATTATTATTTAGCTGTTCTCTTTGACACGCTCGTTGGTCTTGAAGCTTTACCAACACTTCCGTCATTACTTTAAGATAGACTGCGTGTATGTAGACGCTGCCCTTCATATTAACTAACTATGGTAAGTGTAACCTTGTAGAATTATCCACCATGTGACCATCTCCATCCACACGTACTTAAAAGTTCTCGGGCATTACATATTGTGGACATACAGTTTGTCGAGTAATATTGTGCTATGTCAACAATGGCCCACTTTGACTTAACAACTGTCTTAGATTTTGTTCTTTGTAACTTCGGTTAACATTTGTGTTTAACACCTTTTAGGTGGTTCATCTTTGTAGTGTGTGGACAAAAGGTGCAGTCACTACAGTTTATGACTCTATATATATATTGTGTTCCAGGTGGAGATGGAGAGCAGAGAGAGAAAGAACAGGTGCAGGATGTGGAGGACCAGGATGTAAGCTAATGTGGTAGTGGCGGCGGTGGCCCCTTCACCTCTCCACCACCACCATCACCACCACCTCCTCTTACTCCTCCTCTACCACCACCACCACCACCACCACCCCTTCCCACAGTGGAGCTCCAATACCAACACCTCTCTCCAACACTGCCAAAGATGTCTACATCACCTACACCATTTTGCAATGGAGAGAAGATGACTCGAGTGCTTTCCGAAGAAGTGCTTGTAGAAACGCAGTTACGGGGAAAGGGATGGGTTTTCTGTGTACATTCATTAGTTCTGATAACTTATGCCTATGGTTGCTGCTCACCAGTGAGATATCTCCTGTAAATTTAGCATGCTTTAACTTAACATGGTAACCAGTTGTATATTTAGATGTATTTGCTGTGTCAAGGATTAAATCTCATCCAGAGTATGGTGTGGACATTTTGGTTGGTTGCATTCCCTGTGCAAAGTGAATTTGTTAACTGCTGGAGCTCTGCTGTGATGACGGGAAAGGACTTGGCACCATCATTCCAATCCTTCGTCCTAAGTTCGGCATTTTCATCACACTCTTTGTGTTTGAAAAGATCCATTGCATCATTTGTTGTGTATTTATTATTGATATTGGTACGTGATAAGAAATTTAAATATTAGGTAGGTTAATTCTTTTTTAATACTATGATTTCCTTGTATATTTTCATGGGGTCTTAAATTAAGACCATTTTTCCGTTAATCCCTCTTTGGTGTTCGGTGTCTCAAGTGGGCGTTTATGTTCCCCAGCTCAATGTTGACTTACGGCCCGGGGTGAGCGAGTTGGGCGACCAAGATCCAGCTTAACCAGCCTTTCCCCGCCCCGACCCCCAAAATGCCCACCCGGGTTGGGGTTGCATATCCTCAATATAATCCTGAGGCCAGCATTTCCTCTCTAGCATTGGGTCATTTACATTATCTTGACATTTTTTGTACCATGCAATCTCTCTTCCCTACCGTGTGAATGAGCTAAAGCGCGTCTTGGCACTTATTTTCTCGCTTGGGGAATTAGCACAGTTAAGTTGATGGAATCTTCTTTTGATCGTTTGTCTGTCTGTCCAAGTTGTCTTGTTGTTCTAACCGTTTATATATCATTGCTGAACATGTTCATTAGAAAGAAGTTTGTGGCCTATTTGGTAGGGTGTTTACGGACGTCCAGCGTGCCCGAGACGATCCGGACGGAGACGTTAAGAGTTTTTCGGGCAGCCGGGCAAAGAGGGGCTCGGGGCGTTGATCGCGTGGACTAGTAGGTAAACTTCACTTTAAGGCTTGGAGCTGTACAGTACGTAGAGCATCCCTAGATCAGCGGTCTTGCCCCGGACTTCTTAGTCTCCCCTAACTTCTGAGTCACATCATTTAGTGTTTACTGAGTAGAGTTTGCGCTTCAGTACACTCGTGCTTTTCCCCAGCTGTGTGTGATTGAGGTCACAAAAATTGACTGTTCAGTACAGTAACGAGCCTTTTCTAGACCATTATAAAAGGTCCCATTACTTGACCGGAGCCCCCTCGTGGGTTCAAGTAACTAGACAGGAGCCTAAATGAACTGGAACAGGCAAGTTGAGTGTTAGAGTAATAGTGTTCCACTGCTGCTGGTGCAGAGAAAGCATCATCAAAGTAAGCCGAGTCATTGATCAGAGCAGAGTGAACGTTTTTAATCTCGTAATGAATATCACCGCCGATCAGTCTTGTCTATTGAGAATCCAGCCGGCCTATAGCTTTAGTTCCATCTTTTACCTCAATATTTTGTTGATCGCTTGGTGCTGCCTGTCGTTGCAAAACAAAACTTCCCCCTTGTTGCAGCTAAGGGCATTTGAATAAGAGCCACTTGTTTGATGTAATGTTATTCCTTTTGGGATAGGCACACAGGTCACTTTCAGAGTTGCCAGATTAAATGTATCATCTTTTAAAACAAGTCAGCCATATGACCTGTCATACAGTACCTACAACATAGTAAACTAAAAGCACTGATTTGACCACATATTCCAGTTCACTATAGTCTTATAGAGTATTAATGCATTACCTTAAAACAAAATCCTTATTTTGGAAAAAAGCTGTATTGAGTGTGAGCATTCTGTTCATTCAAAAGTTTGCTCACTAGTTGGAAGGTGTTTGTGGGTTGGTGGTAGATAGTGTCAACAAGTGTTGACAAGTTCCCTTTCCTTCTCCTTTTCCCACTCTCTCTACTTTTCCTTCAGTTGAGGGGAGCTGTTCTCCTGTATCTCACTGGATGAGAAGAGAAAAGGTGTTGAACATTATCTTCTACCTGGCCCACTGAGCCATTTAACTAGCTCGAAAATTCCCCCTTCCCTCTCATCCACACTTACTCCCCTCCCCCCCTCCCTCACCATCCCTGACCCTTCGTTTCATGTGGGTCACTCCTAGTTGCTGGTACAGTAGGCTATGCTTAGCCCTTCCTGGCTTCTTCCGTGTCTAGTATTTGTGTCGCAACTGGGGAAAATTGACCCGGGTGCAAAACTTGCCTAAGCTCGGAGTCGCTTGTTGCGTCACATCTTGTGCTTTGTCATTTGAACGATCACAACTATCCATTTTAATATCTACATTGTCAGTGAACGGAGGAATTGTTACTTCTCGATCATTAAAGTTGGATATCGTGCGTGGTTTCCGTAAGGTTACCGCTTTTATAAGGTTGGTGGAATCTTGAGAGGTCAGTCAATCTGAGCTGCTGCTGGTGCTTCAATAAGGCTCTTTTTATTTTTCAGTATCTTGAGGGAACAATCCTTATTGATGTGCTTCTTATAGGAAAGCTCTCAGTTACTGACCACATTACTTGTTTTATGACCCAAGACATTCCAGAGAGCATTTTCGTTGTGGAACACCTTAATGAGCAACCAAGCGATCACATCTCGGGCCTAATCGTGCTACCGCTGCCAGCAGATGGCTACCACTGTCGGTGATTAGCACTTTCTTACAGTTCTTGGTGCTAGCAGAAACGATGCCTCCTTAGGCTCTCATGTGGCAATAAAAAAAAAATTTTGACAACTGACACAGGTGCAGGTTCTTAAATTCACATACCAGTTTAAAAATACAAAGAAAAAGAGCATTTTATGTGTACAGTAACTAAAAGGGTCTGTGCTGGCATATTCATTCTGTAGAGGCTTTTAGGTAGGGCTGGCTAAGTTTGTGGCCAGTCATTTGTGTTAAAACCTAGGAAGTTCTGCCTCACAAGATGTTTGTTTGGGTTTAGTTTCCAGGTTTGGCATAAATGCGTGGCAGGAGATGGAGCGTGTAGTAGATTTGCAGAACACCAGCCACAACAGTACAGTAGCTGTCAATACAGTCCACAATTGGTATGACCATGTGTTGTATTTTTTACTACAATACTACTCATTATACAGTACAGTACATGCTATACACCAAGAGTTGTGAATCTTGCTAGAATGTGCCCCTCTATGTAAATACCAAATTGTGATAGGCAAAGCACATGTGTCAATGCACTTGCATGTCAAAAGTGTTTGATTAAACCTCATATTCTCTATATTGATTATTTCTTACCCTATTTTGATTATTTGCCAACATTAGTCTTGAAGAAGTGCTTTTATATGAAAGTCTACCAAATGTTGTTAATGAAGTTAGTATAAAGAAGCAAGAGTTGTGTGTTTTAGTTAGTAAGTTATATCTGGGCTGTTGAGGATGGTATATATCTGGGGAAACTTGAGGTCCTGAAATATTGAGAGCCATTCTGTATCAACTGGTATAGTATAGTGACACATGTGCAGTTTACACTTAGTCTATGTGATGCAGCAGTGTTGTGTGTTTCACAGCAATATGGATTAAGGATATGACGGTGACAAACTCCATTTTCGTGCAGTCTGACCCTCGTGTAAAGGGCGGCTAGCTGTAGTCTCTGAAGAATTAGATTATTACCAGTACAACTTCTCTGCATATGTCACTTTACTTTATTTTATATTTTTTTACTGTTGCTTCTAGTTGTCTGCACTTGTCTGTCGAGTCACACAAAACTTTATCATTATTTTCTGTGGGTCAGCTTGCATCATCATCTTTGCTTCTGTAACATCACTCACACACACAACACAAACACAACCCCACACACACACACACACAAACCATATATAGATACAGTAAACATAAATTTCTGTTAATTACCCATAAAAGCATCCTGGTGACAGTAAGCCTAAGGAAGCTTTTCTCCCTCCCTGGGCTTGGTAGATGTTTCTTTCCTCCTTCCCTCTATAAAATGTCTGGCTTTTGTTCAGAATTTTGTTTTTCTCTTGTTAATGAAAAAAAAAAAAAGATTGAAGAAAAGTTTGTCCTCTTAAAACACTTGGTAGATATTGTTTTCCTCTTCCTCTCGATATAACTTTTTTTTTATACAGGTATTTTTGGTTTTCTTTCTGTTAATGAAGAAAAAGAAGATTGAACATAAGATTCTCCTCCAAAACACTGTATCTATTTCTGGGGATTTTTACCATGTAATTAACTTGCTTGATCTTAACACATCTCAGTTTCACAGTTCTGTATAAAATGTCTTAATGTTATTATATAGTCTTAATTAACCTTTAATAAATACTGTACTAATATTTGGGGATTTTTAGCAGGTCGGTCTCTTGAGTTTTGTAACCCAAGTGTTGTCTGTATAGGTGTGGTGCTGGTTATAATTTATTTTTTATGGGGGGGTTGTGGTGCAGTAGATAGCTGTACCCTCAGTGTGAAGGAAACATTGATAACTTAAATAGACCCTCAAAAGTTGTCAAATAATGTAAGAAGACAATTTTTGCATTAAATAACAATATGTGACCACAATTTGTGTAGATGCACACAAATATGTACAGGTGTACAGTACAGTACATGGGTAACATTTTAAGAAGTTCTGGTAAGTTATTTATAGTAACTGACAAGAGATTACACTACACAAGAAGGTTATGATCCAACCTGAAACAGGAGGGGATTAGTGATATTGTACTTGGGTATTGTGACCTTTATTCAAGACATCTCTAAGAGGTAAGTTAATATACAGAGGCTCTTCAAAAAGGTTATGACCTGATGCCACGGATGGGTGGGATTACCCGAAGCATGGTAGAGGATTAATGGTACTTGGTAATGTGATTTGAGTGAATGCCTGTTCTCGGCCATAACTGAGAAGATGCTGGCAGGCCTAGAGATTAGTGGGTCGTGGCTGCCTCCCTACATGTCAGTTTATAAAATGGGAGGAGTCAATCTGGCATAAGTTTTGAAGTATGGGGCTCTGGCGCCTCTAGGAGCTCTCCCAGTGATAGCAGCACACCCAGGGGCCCTCTTAGGGACCGCAGTGCCCTCAGGGGCGCTAGCTACCCCAGAGGCTCTCGCATGGACAACAGCTCTCCCAAGTGCCTCCCAGGAATGGCGGCACCCCTAGGGGCCCTGCCCTGCCAGGAATAGTGGTGCCACCAGGGACTCTGCCAGGGGCAGTGGTGCCCCCAGTGACCCTCCTAGGGGCAGTAGTGCCCCCAGGGGCCCTACCAGAAGTGCCCCCTCCCAGGAGTCCCATAGCTTGCTTGCTAGTATTGTCATATACAGTATAGTATATATCCAGCAATTCCTTACTTAATGGTGATTGGTGGACTAAAATGTTAATCCACCGAATAACAGCCAATAGGAGAACAGACCAGTCAGTCAGCACAACACCCCAACTTATGTTTTCCTGTTGGATATTTCTTCTCCTTTACATTGCTCATGGTGCTATGATACTGGAAATGCGATGGGCAGTGTATTTATTTAACGTCATATCTCCCAGTGTTCTAAATAGTGCAAAAACAACTGCCTCCAGGGGTCCTACAGAGACAGTACTGCCTCGGTCCGTGCCATTTGCCCTATGAGGTGCAGCGTCCCTAGAGGCCCTGACAGAGGTGTTGGGGTCCCCAGGGGATCTCCCATGGGTGTCGGGGCCCCCAGGGACGGCGGATCTTTCAGGGGCCTTCCCTTTGGAAGTGGCGTCTTAGGGACCTTCCAATGGATAATGGCATCCTCAGCAGCCTTACCAGGAGCGATGACGACCCCGGGGGACCTCTTACGGGAGTTGGCGCCCTCAGCAGCACTAGCAGGGGTGGTGGCGCCAGCAGGTTCCCTCCCAGGGTCAGCGGCGCCCCTATGGGTCCTCTCAAAGGCAGTGGAGTCCCCAGGGACCCTGCAAGGGACGCTGGTGCTAACAGGGGCCCTGCCAGGAACAGTAGTGCCACCAGGGACTCTGCCTGGGGCAGTGGTGGCCCCAGTGACCCTCCTAGGGGCAGTTGCGCCCCCAGGGGCCCTTCCAGAAGCGCCCCCTCCCAGGAGTCCCATAGCTTGCTTGGTAGTATTGTCATATATACAGTATAGTATATATCCAGCAATTCCTTACTTAATGGTGATTGGTGGACTAAAATGTTAATCCACTGAACGACAGCCAATAGGAGAACAGAGCAGTCAGTCAGCACAACACCCCAACTTATGTTTTCCTGTTGGATATTTCGTCTCCTTTACATTGCTCATGGTGCTATGATACTGGAAATGCGATGGGCAGTCTATTTATTTAACGTCATATGTCCCTGTGTTCTAAATAGTGTAAAAACAACTGCCTCCAGGGGTCCTACAGAGACAGTACTGCCTCGGTCCGTGCCATTTGCCCTATGAGGTGCAGCGTCCCTAGAGGCCCTGACAGAGGTGTTGGGGTCCCCAGGGGATCTCCCATGGGTGTCGGGGCCCCCAGGGACGGCGGATCTTTCAGGGGCCTTCCCTTTGGAAGTGGCGTCTTAGGGACCTTCCAATGGACAATGGCATCCTCAGCAGCCTTACCAGGAGCGATGACGACCCCGGGGGACCTCTTACGGGAGTTGGCGCCCTCAGCAGCACTAGCAGGGGTGGTGGCGCCCGCAGGTTCCCTCCCAGGGTCAGCGGCGCCCCTATGGGCCCAATCAAAGGCAGTGGAGTCCCCAGGGACCCTGCAAGGGATGCTGGTGCTAACAGGGGCCCTGCCAGGAACAGTGGCGTCACCAGGGACTCTGCCCGGGGCAGTGGTGCCCCCAGTGACCCTCCTAGGGGCAGTTGTGCCCCCAGGGGCCCTTCCAGAAGTGCCCCCTCCCAGGAGTCCCATAGCTTGCTTGCTAGTATTGTCATACATATAGTATATATCCCACAATTCCTTACTTAACTGTGATTGGTGGACTAAAATGTTAATCCACCGAATGACAGCCAATAGGAGAACAGAGCAGTCAGTCAGCACAACACCCCAACTTATGTTTTCCTGTTGGATATTTCTTCTCCTTTACATTGTTCATGGTGCTATGATACTG